CCTCACAAACTTCCCTACTCACAATGGTTTTCAAACTGAATCCACTAGCTGATGTTTTGTTGCAGTTTCCTCATGAGCACAAATATTCAATTATTTAATGGCTCTTTTGTTGAATCCTACTTTCCTTCAGAAAATGACTTTTTCAGGCGTGCCTGCAGGGAATCTGAACAATCCCGTCTCACTCAAAGCAATCAAACTTTTCACAGACAATAGAGGTTGATTTTAATGCATAAATCCATTTATAATCAGTCCAAATGCATGGTGACACTTTAAGACCAGAGTCTGAACTTTAGGGAGGATAGATTATCCATTATCATCCATTTATACCATGGTCTGGAAATGGTCATGGAGGTGACCGTCCTCATATGGAACTAAAAGGTTATTCAGATAGTTGCAGACTTTGGCATTTTAACACTTGCCGGAAATTTGTGTTGTTTTGCTCGTTAAAGATGGGAGTCCACAGGGTCATTTCTTGATTTTATGAATAACAAAAACTGCAAGCAAGCTCCTGCAAACTGTCAAAAGTACAATGGCAACATCCCCGACGAAGATTCCCAACGAGTGATCCTTTTGACTTTTAAATGAAGCAGACGCACACGTACATGTGTACTGGACGAGAGCAGCAGAAACCTGTGTACAGGCGCTACAGTCCTTAAAGCAGACAGTCTAGGTTCAACCCAGACCCTCAGCACTTTGTCCCATTTCATTCCCCGCTCTCTTTTACCTGTTTCCTTCTCTATCCACCCTCTACAGTAAAAGCAGAGCAGCATACTGTATGTCAAACCCTTTAAAGCCTGCAGCTAAACCCCCCTTTGTTATCCAGCGGCATATTTAACTCTTTAATTTCCTCACTGCTCTACAAAGATAACCGCACAGTGCTCACTTCCTTTTGTTCTCTTAATAAGAAACATTGTCCTTAATCATGCCACACTTATTAAAAGAATCATCACAGCATGACACATCCTCAGAGGTGCGTTCATTTCTTAAATAAACATCAACGCCTTTTTCCCTCTGTGAACATTTCTGATGAGAAAATTAAAGTTTGACGACGGCTTCACAGATTATAAGATACAGTAACAACCACTGAGTTGTTTTACCTGTTACCTTTATTCAACACCCACACACAAGAGCAACATTCAAACAGTTTATTTTCCCTGATGGATATCTGTGTCAGAAGCACCCAGGTGTGAAATCTGATTATCAACATCAGTTTTTTTACAAATCACATCAGCCCCGAACTTCCTGCATGTGTGTGTATGTATGTGTGTGTGTGTGTGTTCTTCAGTTTCTGTGTAATTCAGTTGCTTATTAAAGCTCGTTGGCACTTTGCTTGATGGCCTCGGACACAGGGTGTGTTTAATTTATTCGTCTGTGTGTCCCTGCGAGTGATTTTATTCTTCCCCTCAGTGTGCTCCTGGCATTATTAAAGGCATTCATCACCGGGATCGGACGCCTTGTTACGACACATTCCTGCCCCCACAGCGCAGCCAGAAACACGCACACACATACACACACACACACACACACATACACTCTGTGAAGTAATCTGGTGTCACCATAAGTCTTGGCTTTAACATACTGAATCTTGTAGGTCCTTTGATGGAGAAAGAAGATGTTTTGTGTGTGTGTGTGTGTGTGTGTGTGTGTGTGTGTGTGTGTGTGTGTGTGTGTGTGTGTGTGTGTGTGTGTGTGTGTGTGTGTGTGTGTGTGTTGTACAACATCATAACACTCAATGTAATATTTCATGAGTTATATAGACACAGTAATCCACGTTGTGATATTTTACAAGGAAATGTGTTGACCTTTAGATCTGCCTGTTTTCCAGTTCCAATACAACCAGCATTGTTTTATTACTTCCTATCAATGACATCATTTGTTTGTTAAAGTGTACAGGATTTTAATAAGATAAGATAAGATGAGATAATACTTTATTGATTTGACCCCCAGAGGTGACATTTGGGGCGTAGACAAGTAGAAGTAGGTCATCCAAAAAATGACAATCTGAACAGAATAGATAAATACAAATAAAGTAGGAGGTATACACAAGTGGAATATAAAGGGTGGGGTGAACTATAAAAGGACAATGAAGACATTATGTGCAGTGAATGTCAAGATAAAGTGACTAGTGATGCTTGTATATGCAGTGTTGCAGCCTCTGGTGTTGAAAAATGGAGTGTTCACTTTTCAAGTAAAGGGTTGATGTCAAACTTTAACTTGTTGCTTCTTGATTTTGTTTCTCCTAAATTTGCTTTAACAAAATGTTAACTCAGTTTTTGTCCTTATTTGTGACATTTATGAATACTACATAATGGATTTTAGACACGGTCTATATAGGAAGTGAAGTTTAATGTAAATACAGTAAGGTGTGTATCAGGTGCAGAAATCCTTGTATGAGCATCACTAGTCAACAGAAACACCAGTCTTGGCTGTTTTCAGATCCATTCCCACATGTATTCTCATTCCTCATGTTACCTCATTTCTGTTACCCCTCTTCCCGGTCCACTCACACCAGCCTTTTCATGCCTCTGACTTTTTGAAGGAAAAAGGTGTCGAGTCACCGTATTGTTGTGACAAGTAGCCTCTTGAGCTTTTCCTTCTTCACAAATCTTTCCCTCCATCCTGCCTCTGTGTCTCGCACCCTGCTGAGTGTTAGCTGTCTTGGGAACAGAGCTGCAACATGTGGACATAGTTTATGACACTGTACCACCTCTATGAGTGTGTGCGTCAATATGAACTCCATTACCACACGGATGAAATGAATGATGGATGGATGATTAAAAAAAGAGAGGACTGCATGAAGATGCCTGTAATACTGTACTTTTAAATAAATAATCATCCTTTAAAACATATAGAGGGTGTTTCAAACATACTATTCCTGGGTTTAAAGAAAACATTTTCTGTTGCCATCACACTGACAGAAAACGAAACAAATACTAAAAAGATTCAAAGATAACTTTAACATTTTAACTCCAAAAACAATGATATAATTCAATAAATGGCTTATACAAAGAAGGGTGAGCAAGAGAGAGAGAATGTATGCTTTCTAATGTGTACACCTGTTCATTCATACCCCGGGCAAATTTTCTAAAAGAGTAACTCAGAGCAGCTGCAGCGCTCCATTTTTACAGACAAAATGAAAGTGTTGCAACAGATATTTAAAAAACTCAAACAGTCATGGCGTCATTCTCACTCCTGTCCATCGACAGCACAAACCTGAAGTTCAAGATCCTGAATCCTTGGCAGCCATGTCAAACCGTCCACCTCGTCTTGTGCCAAATCCTGTTCTACCCCCAACCTCCTGACTCCAACCTGTGCCAGGAGCCCAATATGCAAGTACTTCACTTTCACAGCCAACAAAAATCAGACACCTAAGAGACACCGTGACCCTCCAGCGATAACTGCTAGAAAGCTGTCCACTCAGATACGTTCTCATAAAAGCTTAGAAAAACAGGAAAATCAAATTCAAGGGCGAAAAAAAGGATTCTGAATCACAGCACAAACACCACAACTGATCCAGTTCAAGATTGGATCAGGAGATTTTTAGTAGGTAAGGGCTTTGATTATTTGTTCATTACTTTATGAACAAGTAATAAATTGACTCTCAAACATTACTTGATTTAAGACGTCAATAAGAAGTACCCCAGTGCTCATACCCACCTCTAATTCAGATAGACATGAATGCCTTTTTTCATGTAAAATTCAGCTCTTGCATACATCATCCCCCATGAATGATCCCGTCCCCAGATCTTTGGTATTTTTGCTCTTTTGCTCTCGATTCAGGTTTGAAATGCTTGTGGAATTATTTAAAGCAACAGCAAACTTCTCAACACACCATTTATTCCAAGAGGAAAAAGAGGTGAACGTTGAACTTTTTACTTCACAGAAGAAGAAAAAAAAGTGTGTCGACTGATGTCAGAACACTGAAATAGACGCGGCGTTTTCTCGTGTTTACCAGCTTCGGCCTGTGATTTCTTATTCTCAAAGGAGTGAGAAAAAGTCAAACATCAAACGCTGAGTGAGTCCGGCTCTCTGCTGATCGACGTGTGACTCACTGCTCTTTAGGAGAAGTTTTGTATTTAACTTTTGAAGTTTGAGCTTTTTTTTGTAGAGTGCAGAAAAGAAAAGAGAGAAAGACATATATATGTTACTGAACAGAGGTTTCTTTAAAGAGTCTGGGCAGAGATGCAGGAATACTCACTGCTGGATGTTTGCATCTGCATTGTTCAATTATTCTGCATGTTTGGCTTCCTCTTCTACCATTACTCATGCTCGATCACGTCATTTAATTCTTATGCCATATGCGATAAAATCAGCCCATGCACTTGATATGTCAATGTCAGCCAATTGTATCAGCTTGCCGATCAATCAGAGCATCTGCTGCAATTATTCTTGTAAGAACCTTAAATTAATTATGAGAAAAATGATCAACAATCTTATTGATAACTGATTCATCGTTTGGGTCACTTTAGAAGCAAAGATGCCAAAGATTTGATGTTCCAAAGTTTTAAATTTGAGAACTGGATGATTTATATTTTTCCATTTGCTAGTGGGCTGAATATCGTTTTTTTTTGGGGTTTTTTTACATTTGGTTACAATGAACCAAAAATCTTCCAAACACTTAGCTTTGAAATTGTGGCCAATGCTGTCAAGAAATAATGATGAATCACTGAGGGGGGAATTCAGGCCTAGAGAACAATTGTAGGATGAATTCAGAACTAAATGAGAGTTATGTATTTCTGTAACAGTCTTTATTCCATTTCTGTCTTTAGATTTAACGAGGTTCAAGTTCTCTGGTAGTGTTTGTTTACATGGTTATGATCACCAAACTGTTCTTGAGTTAACACTCTGATGTTGCTGCTGTCTTGTGCCACACAGAGTGATTTGATTTCCTTTGCTGGCTGTCGTGTCTTTCTTCAGGGCTGTTAAAGAGAAAGTGAAATCCTCCATCAGCAAAGAGAAACATCTGGTAATAAGGTGCTGTCTCTCTCTCTCTCTCTCAGGTGTATCGTAGAAAGGCTGTGGAGCTCGGTGAAAAGCTGCTGCCAGCCTTCAAAACACCCACCGGCATTCCCTGGGCTCTTCTTAACCTCAAGAGGTAAAACACACACACACACACACACACACACACACACACACACACGTTCTCTTAAAGCGGTCCACTCTGGTGGTATGGCAGCAGGTCTGTTTTCATGGTTTTGATACTTTAAAGAGCTCTTTGGTGTGAGGCCTGATGTAAGCCGGTTGAACACAGGCTCTTTTTATTCCCCCCCTCTCTCTCTTACACAAACTGAGCTGTTTCACTTTTACATGACAGAGCCGACTCTTCACACAGATGCTGTTCTGTTTTCTTCATCCACCACGACTACATGCCAGCGGCTGCCTCTCAAACTTAAAACTAACACTCAAAAAGACGAAAACCAAAAAGTTTCTGAGGTTAAAGGCCGCAGTCAGCTTTTCTTAACACACTGCGTCACAGTGACGGGGGGCCGCCTCTGGGACTGAAGCAGCAGAAACACACGCGTCATGTTTAGAACCGAGATGTAAAGCAAGTTTGTTGTTTGGACACAAATCCTCCAACACTGATGTGTAGAAAACAATTCAGCCTGGTTGAACATGTATATGTCTTGATTGTCCTTTTCCCCCACTTCTTTGGAATAGGAGTGCAAAAAGCTGAAGCGGCTATGTGTGATGGAAACAAATGTTTGGAACCAGTAAGGGGGAAAAAAGGAAATTAAAGGGAGACTACTGCTTTAGCTCCAAATGATCTTATTAAATGATGCCATTTATCACCTCTTTATTCACATTCGTTAAGGTATTTTAATTAACGGATGCATATTGAGAAACCAATGAGGAAATGAGTCGCAAAGCCTGATTGATATGGGATTATTGAAAACAACATTAGAGGAGTGGAAGGATTACTGATAAGGATGCAGATGTTGGGAAACAGACAGATTCTGCACCAGTATGAAAATGCAGCTTCTCAGAGAGCTGCTTTCTTACACAACTAACTAAAATAATGAATATGAAACATTGTTTAGTATTAGTCTACCAAGCTGTCAGGCTCTGCCCCGTGCTCTGCAGACAGTGCACTGCAGAGAGTACTTAAAGTCACAGTATGTAGATCCTGCCACCAGGGGGCTCTCAATCAATACAATCATGGAAGTTCTCTCTGCTACTAATGCCCCTGAAGGGTTCTTAAGCCCTGAATTGAGAGAAAAGGACATTAGTTAGAGTCAGAATAAGAGATGAGGGAGTGTGGGACGACATGCGGTACATGACGAGGAGGATTATAGTTGAGTGCATCAGTGCATCATAACCTCTGTCCATGGGCGCACTCATAGAGCTAAACCAGCACCCTCTTTCTAAAGTGTAGTGTTCTGTATTTAGTGACAAACATGCACCCTAATCTGATTTAGATATTTCTTTAAAAGACACATATTGCTCAAAAAAAAGAAGGAAAAAGGCTCCAATAATTAACTTAGTAAGAAATACATGCTCACTTACACACTTCAAGAAGAGCTGAAGGCCTTTCATTGACTTTTCATATCTGTAGTTTGTTGCTGGGTAACTCACAACATGTAACACGATACATGGACTGTTATAACGATAATACCACAATACAGTGATTCTGCAATGAATGATATATGGCAAGACAATCATACAATGATGTAGCACAGTGTCTGATTAACTGATGAATACAAAAGGCCCCTACTTTTATCCGGCTGTCTTTTACTTAGGGTTATGACCTTCTGTTCATGTTACCCTCATTCATGTCATAAGTGTCTCTGAGGAGTCAAGACGTGGTGACCAGGTTGAGAGATTTTTTATTTTTTTTGTTAAATAAGATATCTGTATTTGGCACCAGCGATACGGCGTATTGCACGACTCAGGCGACAAAATCTTGCCGTATCAATATCAATTTTCTCCAGCAAAAGATCTCCCACTGATGTCTTTCAATTTCCTGTTTGGAATCAGGAATCTTCTGTGTACGTTAACAATGAGGCCGACCTCAACCGAGAAAAAACACCTTATGTTATTAAAAGTCCAACACAGGATAGTATCTTTGTGAGAGACCTCAAAAGAGGGTCTGCCATCGTTGCACTCCAGCTCCTCTGTCAGTCACAAGCCATGAAAGAAAGGAGCTCTTTTTTTTTATCCTCCATTTTCCTTTCTTCATCTCTCTTTCCCCCAGAGAGAGACTCCACACTCTGCTGTTTGTCAGACGTTAATTAAAAGGCAGGTTGTCCTGACGATAAACGCGCTGTGACAAATTAATTTTCTTTCTGTCTCTATGGGTGAACGGACTTTGCACCCTGCCGTCCTTCTCCCTAGGGTGAGTTACGCCCCTGGGAGAGACGGTGTGCGTGAGAGTGTGTGTGTTTATGCACTCACATGTATGTGTGTGTGTGTGCACGCTTGCGTGATCCCCCAGAGGCCTGAACAGATTGGTTGTGATGATGACTTTACCTGCATGAGTGAGCTATGATAGCTTGGAATCACACACACACACACACACACACACACACACATCTCTTACCATGCACACACACAGAGTAGCTTATGCACCACTGAGCAAGAAACTTTTAACTCCTACTTCCAGCTGAATGTTTCCTTTCTGTATGTGACATGTTCACATATAAAACAAGACAAGAGACATCCAAAGAAGGAGAGTTTTGTATCTCACCCGTTCATTTGCTGAGATGCTTTTCAGTTCCACCGACTAGTTCCTGGAAATGACTTAGTGGAAATGTCCACTCGCTGCGCTTTTGCCTAAATTGGAGGTTACTCTTGCATCAGTGCACGTATGGTGTTTACAGTACAGCTGACTGGCACAATCACTTCAAACGTTCATGAAAGAGAGCAGTGATACGGAAAAATGCAAATCAGGGCAGTCGAACATAACTAAGGACGGTATGACACTGCAAACGTTTTTTGCGTTCAAGGTGGTACTCTTAGTGTAGAATAAAACTACATTACTGTCTTCACATTCTGGGTGATTTCTCATTACTCTCGGTTTGGATAGTGCCTCTGAGGAATCTCTGTTTAAAGGATCATATAGCCTCAACCCTACCCCCTCCCCCTTCTCCTCCAATAAGGATGGGGACACTCTACCCCTGGACGTGATCGTGCAAAGTGTAGAGATGGGACTAAGGGTGCACTCACACTAAGCAATCTGTACTGTGCCCAAGCATGCTTCACCCTCAAAGTCCAGTTCATTTGACTAGTGGGAGTGCTCGATCCGTGCTCAAGCATGGTACACTTACTTGGCCCTGGCACGCTTGGATGAGGTGTGCTTTGGCACGGTACAGTTCATGCAAGAGTATAAGCATGGGCACACAGCGGGGACAGCCTTCATTATCGAGAAATCCTGGAGGGTTCTGGCTGTATCTGACTAAAATAACTCCAAATAAGCCATGCATCACTTTTATTTGCTTTATTTTTTATTCTCTGGTCCGCTTCTCTGCTAAACTAAGCACTGGTAAACTTCATAATTACCTAAAGCCATGGCATGTGTTGTATTACGACATAATGTACAAGAGGTAACCATGCTCAGGCCCGGTTAGTCCAAGAGCAGTGTGAGTGCAGGTCAGCGGGGGAACGGGGCAATCGTGCTTAAGAGCGGTACGGGACAACTTTACATAGTGTAAAAGCACCCTAAGTGGTAGGAAGATACTCCAGACCCAGTTGGGCGTCGACAAACAGGTTCTCCCTGCAGCCCTCTGCGGTATTTGTGAATGATCTCTTTAGATTTTAGAATTTTAAAAAAAGATGCCCGACCTGTTTTGAGGTTTCCCTGCCACTTAACATTTTAATTATAGTGAAGAAGAGTGACAAAAACCTCATAACTGGGTGGTTGAGAACATCAGTGACGTACTTCTGCTGTTAGACTGCATACATAACCTTGACCCAGATTGAGGCAGAATAAATCAGTACAAAACACTCACAGACACACTTGCAAATGAGGCCCAATTATCATCCCTCCCTCCAACCCCATTTCTCCCCTCTCATTCCCTTTCCTTTTTTTTTTCTTTCTACTCCTTCATTTTTAAAAACCTTTTCTTTTCTCCGCTCCTCTGTATTCCCTCTCCGTCCTCGCTCAGTCCATCTATCTTGCCTGAAGTGACCCAGTATCTAAATTCTGTTTCAGGACATGGTATTGTAGGTCCAATACCCTCCGTGGCCTTGTTCTCTTTATTCCCTCTCTGCAGTTCTTTCACGACTATACCCTGTAGCTATCTGAAAAAAGCCCAAAAGGGGCCGCGAGAAACAGGGCCAGCTTTAAACTGTTATTTCTCATACACAGAGAAAAACCTTGTTTGCTCTAATGTTCTTTGATCATTACAGAGAACCAGATCCAACAATATCCGCCTGAGCTGCTTTTTCTACGGGAGCAGTGGGTTTGCAGCTTGTAAAGACACATTTATATGAGAACCAGTTTAAATAGGAGCTTTTTTTGTCTAATTTTTTGGGGATGAACACTTTGTTTCATACTCAATGCACAATATCATCATTAAAGAGGGTTTAACTAGCATTCACCTGCTCCTTCAATGGCCCAATTTATGTGTGTTTTTATGAGCCTTAATGTGGACTCATGGACCCTGTTGTATTTTATTAGTTAGAACCAATCTAGGTCACTCTAAGAGACACACACAGTTACAACTAGGGATGTGCATGTTAGTTGACTAAACTGTGAAATGACATCACCCTGGGTAGTCAGCACCAGAATTACTAGTCCGTTAAACAAATTATTAATATTTCCGCCCTCGATGCCGGTCAAATGTTGTGCTCAAACTGTAACGCAGCCACCTGCCACTAGATGGGGCTTTAGCCGTAGACTTACTGTAGCTTCAGTTAATGCACCTGCTCTCCCTGCTCTACCACCTGGATGTAAACAAGCACAGTGAGAGGATAGCAGGACACTGTTCTTTTACATTTTCTTTGTGAAATTCCTTTGTATAAAGGCAAATAATGAGCCTACAGAGCAATTTAAAATAGATGTAACGGTCACTGCCCAGGAAAGCTTCAGTGCTACAAGCAAACCTTTGTAATCTTCCACCAGTAGGCCCACATAAGAAGCTTTCTGAAACGGAGGTT